TGGATGGATGGATGCATGGATGGGTGGATGGGTGGGTGGATGGATGGATGGGTGGATGGGTGGGTAGATGGATGGATGGGTGCATGGATGATGGGTGGATGGATGGATGGATGGGTGGGTGGATGGGTGGGTGGATGGATGGGGATGGACGGGTGGATGGGTGAATGGTTGGATGGCATGGATGATGGGTGGATGGATGGGTGGATGGATGATGGGTGGGTGGATGGATGGGTGGATGGATGGATGGGTGGGTGGATGGGTGGATGGATGATGGGTGGATGGATGGGTGGGTGGATGGGTGGGTGGATGATGGGACAGAGGAGGGAAGGAAGGAAGACAGGAACAGGACACATATACAAGAATGTTCATAGCAGCACCATTTTTAATAGTACAAAGTGAAAAGCTGCTAGATGTCCATCATCGTAGCTGATAACTAAATAGTGGTACTTATCCGCATGTGTTTTCCCTCGTGGATTATGACATGATAATAAAATGAAAACATTTCAGCTCCACACAGATAAGGTGGGTCAATAGCACACATAATGTTCAATGAAAAAAGCCAAATACAAACGCACTGAAAGGGTGTTATTCCCCTGATAGGAAGCCCCGAGACAGGCAAAACTAAACTAAGGTGTTTGGAAACGCATGTTCAAATAGTCTAGCTACTGGAAACCCCAGAAAAAGCAAGGGAAGAGGTCCTCACAGCGTGGGACGCAGCCCGTCTCGGGAGGGAGGGGAAGCTTCCTTGGCAAGGCGCTCTCGCCTTCACACACACAAAACGGTTTTAAAAGAAGTGAAACGCCGAAGGAAGAACATCTGGCAAAGTGATGCGTGAGTTGGACAGAAAGTTCACGATGCTTGTGCGAAGGCCACCCAGCTCCGATGAGCCTAGACCACGAAGCAGGGCCTCGCTGGCTGGGCAGCTTCCACTGAGGTGCATTTTACCACAACTTCAATTTTTTTAAGAGTTGTTTTATTTATTCATGCATGCAAGAGCAGGGGTGTAGGGCTCAGTGATGTGTGTTGGTGTGTCAGAGTTTGGAATTTTTTTTTTAAATTGGACTTTGTTTTTAAGAACAGTTCCGGCTTCACAGAAAAAAAAAAATCAACCTATACTTTTTTCTATCACAACCTCCCACAATTTACCCTAACCTCCCCCACATTTACTAGGGCTTTACAAAATTATGGTTTGTTTGTGTTTTAAACTGGGTGGCTATAGAGTAACTTTTATATCTCTATGATAGGTAAGTAGGTTGTGGCAAAGTTACAGGTTCTAGAACAGCACCAGTTCATATCCAATCAATGGAAATAACATCAAACAGTACAAAGCGAGTAGATGTTGCTATTTTTTTTTTAAGATTTATTTTTACACAGGAGAACCGAAGTGTGGGCAGGGTGAGAAGATTCAGCAGAGATAGAGTGGGGAGGTAGAGTGGTGGATGGACTGAAACACACTGCTGAGGGGAGCAGCGGGCGAGACAGGAGAGGTTGCTGGGCCATGTGGGTCAGCTCCCTGGCCGGGGATATGACAGCTTTGTAGTGCTGGGACTTAACCCCTTGCATCAAGGGGGCCCAGTTTTACAACTTTCGTATCACCTAAGCACACAAACAGTGAGTAACCTTAATATCCCTAGGACCTGGGTAGTCTGAAGAATGCAGCAAACACAGCTGTTGGCTCTGCTGGAGTTCAGGTGAGATGGGGTTCAGTGCATGGGGTTCTCGGGCCCCTGTGAGAAGGAATTCAGCAGATGCTCCCAGTTATCCGCACATGGCAAGTTTACAAGGAAAGGGAAAAGAGAGACACGTGCTTAGACAGGACGGGCAGTCGTGACGAACAAGAACTGCTTTTGGCCACACGGGTGTTCTGTCATAATGTTCTTTGATGGAGTTGTGGAAACTGTCCCTTTGCCATCAGCTTGCATTGATCTTCTAAGACCCGTAACCCTCTGTGACTAGCATCAGGTGGTTTCATTTATAGGTGGGCTATAGGGAAATTGAACCAAGGATCTGAGGAAGCTGACCATAGATCTGAGGCCCACAGCAGCAGAGGGAGAGGGGCCCAGTCTGGGACGGAAGAGCACAGGGATGAGGGAGATGGATCACAGGTGCTGTGGTGTAGGAGAGGGACCCCACCTGAGGGGAGAGATCAAACACTGTCCAAAAATTAACAGTGATGTAAGAAAATAAAAACACGTGAGGGGGGCCCTCCCTGGTGGTGCAGCGGGTTAAAGCACAGCACAAAGAAACTTAAGCCACTTCCGCATGAGTTCGATCCCCGCCTGACCCGAGGAG